TATTTGTTTAAATGCTTGTAGAATATGAATAATTTATTTCATAAAAGTATACAAAGTGCATATTAAGATATTTGCACCTTGTGAGTTTGATAATGTTGGTGTATTCGAGTATTCGAGTATTCGAGTATTCGAGTATTCGAATATTCGGATATTTTCTGTAGAGTTTCTGTTTAAAACAATTTATTTCCAAATCAATACAAACAATACATTTTAGTTGTTACCGAACCTTAATTATGACTTATGACTCGTATATCTTAAAACTGACTAAGATTGACTGTAGACTATCTGAGACTGACTTCTTATGACTTCTGACCAAATACCTAATTACTAAATGCTCGTTCCTGCTGTGGCTTCTTTTATAATTAATTCATGCCGATCATAGCAGAAACGATACTCGTCTTGTTTTAAATAATATTTGGCATAAGTGACCATATAATTCTACCTATCTAAAGTTAAACGATAAATAAATAAATAGTAACAAACGACAGTTTTCTAGAGGTTAAACTTATTGGGGCATTAATAATACAACCGCTTCGAGTTTTACAACAGTTTTGCTCAACGTTTCCGTTTGTCTGTGTTTCGGTATGTATTAAAATTTTCCTTGGCACAATTATTTTTAAATATGGCCAATGCAGAGTGATTCTCTACATTAATTTGGTTTCAGTGCAACACAAATTCTGGTAGTTTTGGGCTCTCACGACCTAATGGTAGAAGAAGACTCCAGAATAATCTATAACACCTCAACATACGTGATTCATAAAGATTGGACGTCAAGAACTTTTCAAAATGATGTGGCGTTAATACGGTTGCCCGAAAATGTAACATTGAATAACTTTATTAACACTATACCATTTACTCATAGTAAGAACAGTTATGATGGGGAAACTGGAAGGTGTTTAGGATGGGGTAGGACTACTTCAGGTAAGTTTTAGTGTTGCTAAACAAACATATTACTTTGTATATACCCCCATACATCGGGGGGTGTACGACCAAATGACTACCGATAGATATAAGTAGTTCCCTGCCGCTCAATTAACACCTTCGGCCCGAGGAATTGACGGGGTCGTAAAGTSGGGCACTCTCTTGTCATGGGGGTGAGAAAAAAGCTCCCGAAGGCGGATRAACCAACCAGAGTGATCAACGGCATAGGATCAGGCAGGCAAAGGGAAGCCAMCTGATTATTYTCCCACGAGCACATCAATGGCAGAAAACGCTAGAAAGGATATGATACATATCCGTTTAGCAACCGGTGTCAGGTTGGTGTGAAATTGGCTACCTGCTRCGTGCAGTGGTAATGTGTAGGCCTGGGCCCTGCAAGGAAAATTAGCTACTAGAGCAATTCACCAAATTAGGAAAAATATGCGCATYGGAACATTGAACGTCAGAGGACTGGGCCAGATTGGTAAACTGCACATCTTATGCCCGGTTTCTGGTAGATTCCCTTATTGGTTTGATARCTATCGGTCCGCTACAGTTCTAGGTTCTATAACTTATGATAGGTTTCTCAACGTGTCTAAACGCCAAAGCTAGTGGACCCATAACTATCGAGTCTATAAAGTAGGCAAAGCTTGGTATTCTGTGGGTAAAGCCATATAACGAAGAAGAAGAATCTGTAAAGAATGATTAGAGTGACTTGTGTTACAAAAAAAAAATGTCCGGTTTATTTTACTTCCGAGATCTGGTGCCTATTTAATACTACAAGCTATAAGTGTTGGGCTCCGAAGACAAAATCAAATAAATACAAACTATGGAAATGTATTTTGTCATTCTTCCTGTAGCATAAAACCTTAGACCTATATTAGCAATTGTTAGCAAACAGATAAACTGTGGTTTATCTGTATCACTGGCTGAATTTGTTCCTAAAGTAGCTCTTCTAGATAGTGAACAACGTTTTTGATTAAACGAAAACGAGCTAGGAATTCATCTTTGCCGTATTTCTCAAAATGATCATTTCGTGCTCGAAAATGGCGAATTATTTCACTATTCAGAACATCGAAAACTTCGTCGTCAGATGAGTACGAAGTGGAATGTTACATTATATTCAAAAACTTTGCTTCCCTTTCACACTCAAATTTTGCTCCCAAAAATGTTATTATTGTTTTCCCAAAACGTGATCTCTGCTCGCAGCTGATTTCGTATGACTTTTTACACCAATGGCAAATACGCTTGCGTGCGCTGCTCCTACAACTTATAGAACCGATAAAGGTCCGTGAGCGACCGTTTATCGGTTATTCAATGTAACGAACCGCTAGCTCTTATCGAACGTTTCAGAAACCCATTTTTCCGACTTGTAGATCCGTTTAGGCTATTGGAACTATAAAGATCGTGTCATAAACCGGGCATTAGAGAACGAAATGAAGTGAGCGAATGTATTGATATGTGGCTTAGCTGAGACTTATTGGAGGGGAAACGGACATTTTGAAACGACGGACTACTGCATATATTTCTCGATCGTAGAAAATGGCGAACGTAATGGGGTGGCGTATAGGATTGAGAAACAGCTGGCCAAATGGGCGGAGTTAGCGACCAGTGAACGATAAGATAATAATAATAACAAAAATTGAAAGCAAAATTGAAAACACATATCAGACCTACAAGCGGATCCCCAAAAGCAGTTTAAGATCTCWACTGCAAARAACTTTTTTCATTTTGTKGAACGCTGCGMGAGCGTGMTTTATTATTCAGCRGCTTTCCGTGTGATTGTCTCCAGCGTTATTTATCGGACATCCGAGGTACTTGATCTGTGTAACGTGCTTCAGTCTTACACCTCTGACTGTCACAGTAACGTTGTATCATTTTTTTCGGCGATGTTTGGGAAATGCTCTCTTATGCACAACCAGAGCTCTGGACTGTGTGGGACTCCAGCTTCGCTGTTTACCCACCAAAACCCTTTCTTCACCGCCGAGGTGGTGTTTGGTCTTGCACCGCGATAATTTCTGTCCTATTGTGCCCTCGTGTTTTACTCCCTCATTCAGCCCTGTGCTGTATCACTCACGTTATTATATCCGTTAAACACGTTATGTGGCTCCAACTGGTGTGTTGTATYAGTAAAACCTTTATATAAYAGCAGGCGCACGCTATCGACGAACGTTATATTAAGAAATAGCGCTTCAGAATAACAGCATCAAATCASATGCCGCTTTCGAACTTAACGTGCGTCCCTCGAAGTTAACCTCGGAGGAATAAATAAAACAATTGTGTTTAATCAGAKCGTAGTTTTGTCTTTTAGCTATGTTTTTAATTTWAAACAAAAATATGCCTTTTGGTGGTATTATAAGATTAGCTTTATTAGAACAATTGGTAAATGGTCTTGGAAATAAACTTTATTTTCCTCCACAAACTCTACTACATTTTCAAATTGTTTGTGGGTTGTTTTTTTGACTCTTCTGTGCATGCGCCATTGAAAGCGTTTGAGAAGATAGGCGAAGAACAGTATCGAACGAAATTGAAAGTGAATGCAAATCATAAACAAAGACAAGTATGGTGGTAGGTGGGCCAAATGGTCAAAACGTGCACATGTGGTGCATATGTTTTAGAAGCTTCGATGGTTTAATGTTAACTCTCTCTCTAACTAATAGACTATTCGTATAAGGGCATCTCACKTTATTMATCCAATATTTTTTTCCTTTTTAACKTTWGATGGATAACTGGGTCGGAAACGCATACGTTAACTGGGAGATAGAGCACACCTCGGTTGTGTTGCTGCGTTATCAAAAATGTTRTCCTGAACTGTTAAGTTGCCATAACKTGTGGCCGTTAAAAATAGCATTTATGATACAGCACAGGGCTGAATCATAAATGCTATTATCCCTGTATATTCAATTAATTCCRGAAKAGTCTTAAGGGAGGTACATATGACTTGGTCTGGTAGAACTTCATCCCCTCCCAACAGTCTTCGTCTACCTGTTGCAKATGACGTGCAGTGACACAAAATACGTAGAGTAGTTTCGTCCTGTARTTCGCACCCCCTGCAGGTCGGTTGATYGCTCAGTCCCATCMTGAAGAGGTGTTTTTTGAAGGGGGTGTGTCCTGTTAAAAACGCGTTTCTCTTYCTCTTATTTTTTGCCTGCTGAGATCTAGCAGTTTGTTTTTGCGCCTTGGTTGTGGARGTACCACCAACTATTTTGCGGTAAAGAGCCGCGGTATCTCCTCCCAGTACTTTCTATGTTCTTCCAAGAACCATTGCCCAACTCCCGGCCTGATTTGGGCATGAGATATGCYACAAGCMGGTAYTTGGTTGGTCAGTGGTTGCTCAGCCCCTGMCTTAGCAAGTTCCGMAGCAATCTTCTTTCCTTTGCTCCTGTTTGTCYCTGATGCCCAAGTGAGTTTTACTCTGTTTGAGTCGTAAGTTCTTTTACACAATCTAACACACATTGTGACCTGACTGTGTACGATTCTTCTTCTTCTTCTTCTTCTTCCTCATATTTTAAGCCCTAGGCTTGTATTTTCCAACTTAATTTCCCTGGGATATGGGATGTCGAAGGGTCTTTCCATCTTTTGGGAGGTCTGCCCAGTGGTCGGCGTGTCTGTGGAAACCCGTCTCGAGCAATTTTTGCCCCTGTCCATATTCATTCTAGTGACGTGGTAATTCCAGGCTCTACGATGCTTCCGTCCCCATCTGACTATGTCCTCTATCTCGGACTCGTTTCTCATGTCAGTGTGACTTTTCCTGTCTCTTAGGGTGTATCCTGCTATATTCCTTAGCATTTTCATTTCAGTTGTTCGCAGGATATTTTTGGTTCAACTGGTGTGTGCTCGGGTTTCTGTAGCGTATGTCAGTAAGGGTCGTACGCAAGTTTTATAGATCTTAGTTTTAGCCTGTTTCCCCATGTGTTTGTTGTTCCATACTACATCTCGTAGAGCACCTGCTATCCTGCTAGCCTTGTTTGCTTGGACCCTTACTTCATTGTCTCATTGTTTTGACTGGAGGTTATTTGCACTCCCAGGTAGTTAAACTCCATTACCTGCTCTACTAAATTGTTATCGAGTGCAAGTTTATACATCTGACGGGCTTTTTAGCGATTACGAGTGTTTTTGTTTTGGTAGTGGATATTTGCATGTTGTAGGCCATAGCTTTGACATAGAATGCGTGCAACAGTCTTTGAAGGTCACCCTCGCTTTCAGCTATGATCACAGCGTCGTCGGCATAGCAAATTATTTTTATTTCACCAGTTGTAAGTCTGTACCCTCTGTCCGAGTTCTTGACGTGACTAATTATCTCATTTATTATGATGTTAAACAGCTGARGGCTCAGAGAATCTCCCTGTCTAATTCCCGATGGCATTGGAAYTTCCTCTGTCAGTTTTTGGTTCATTAAGACGTGAGTCGAAGTGTTGACGTTTAACTGYTCGWKWGATCCTATAATAGCTTCCGGTATGTKKTTCYTCCTTAAAATGTTGATAACATCGAACAATTWWACTCGATCCAAGGCCTYGGTGATGATYGATAWCGCACATAAATGCGGGTTTTCCGTACKMAAWGGCTTTTTCGAYARTTYRCCTGATTATAWAGATAGCGTCCAGCGTCGATCTAWTGTTGTTCTTCTGACATAACTAAACATTCGGTGMTGATTGAWWCCAAAATTTTTGTGAAAAGTTYCATRGTTTACATATAGAATTTCTTCCTAACGTTTCGTCCACAACWAAGTTTCATAGTTGAGGCTAGTAGTGTAGCTAGTGAGCTAGTAGCCTCTGTAGTTTTCAGGAGATTTCTTATCACCTTTTTTGAATATGGGAATAATGATACTTTTCTTCCATTCGTTYGGGATTTTTCTAGTTGTTAAAGTTTGAACCAGTAKCCATTGTGTACGATTCGAGTGCCCTTATTGTGGCTTCATCGCATGTTACGATAGTAATATGCTTACGTGTGTAGACTATTTTCCTCATTTTCTTGGCGCAAATTGTTATCGCTAGTACACTTGCTGGGAAAGCGGTCGTGAACCCAGGTTTAAGGTAATCCTTTCTCCAGTTCTTCCTATTTTGTCTATACCAGCGTTTGAGCTCGATACACAGCCGTTGTATCATGCTGTTTGCTTATTACCAGAATCTTCGTTTTGTTGATATTAAGATCGAGTCCCGTTACTGCATATTCAGCAGTGACCCTGTCGAGCAAACACTGTAAAACACTGTCCTCTTCGTTGGAGTCCAGAAGTACCGTGTCATCCGCATAACGCAAATTGTTTATGACTTAGCCATTTACTATAATGCCTTCCGATCCTTCAGACATTGCCTTCCTGAATATTCTTTCCGAGTAGACACTAAATAGTAATGGCGATAAAATACATCCTTGCCTAACATCTCTCTTGATGTTGATTGATTCTGAGTTTGTATTATCTATTCTGACTACTGCAGGTTGATTCAAGTATAAATCGGCGATTATGCGAACATCTTTCCCAATATTCCGAAATGTGAAAACCAAACCAAGTGCCGAATGCGGCTCTGATCACAGACTAATGATTGCCGACTTCGGAATAAAGCTACAAAAACCCATCAGATTGGATAACAAGAGTAAAGTGAATGCGCACCAACCAATGACCATCCAGCAAGCCCTAACTATCACATCCAGGCGATCGCAATGACGCAAACCAACTATGGAAAAAACAAGAAGGTGGATTGAATTGGCCACAGAGAAATGCCTAAAAAAGAGTACAGGGTACAGGAGCTGGTAACATTACAGGGACATTAAACAACACTTTCTAGCATGGTGTTGACTTTATAGTGCACAAACAAATTGTAACGTGTGTTACCAACTTTCTACCAATATCGGAAAGGATAGCTCTTCTACAAATCAATGCAAGGCCCGTAAATGTCAATCTCATCCAAATATATGCCCCTACTACAGCTTACAGCAACGGGGACGTAGACCAGTTCTATAAGCAAATAGCAGATATCATCAAAGCCTTGCCACAGCATGATATAAATATTATTATGGGTGATTTCAACGCCAAGATTGGAAAAGGAAGAACTGGAGAACACATTGGAGTACATTCGCAGCAGGACATGATCTGATTGGAACCAATACATTCTTTCAACACCATCCTAGAAGATTGTACGCTTGGAAATTGAATGATGGAAAAACTAGGAATCAGATAGACTTCGTACTCATTACTAAGAGATTTAGAAACAGCATCAGAAACATAAAAACTTCTCCTGGAGCAAATGTTCAGTCGGATCATAACCCGTTGATAGAAAGAATGAGAACCAGGCTGAAGAGTGTAGAGGAAAAACATGTAGGGAGATATAATTTCAGAAGACACAGCCACAAACAAGTTGGTAAGGAATGAACTTTTGACAGAGTCTGAAGAGCAGGAAAACCATGGAGATGTAGAAAAATGCCTTAAAATGCTTCAGGGAAGTATACATAAAGTCAAAGAAAAGTACTTAAAGTCTGTCAAACAGAAGAAGAAATCTTGGATGACAAACGAGATCCTGGAACTGATGGAAAAAAGGAGATTGTTTAAAAATAAAGCGAGAGCATACATGAACGTACAGAGAGAAATAAGAGTGAAAATAAGAACAGCTAAGGAAAAGGTGAAACTGGAAAAATGTGTGGAAATCGAAGAATGCCAAGCCAAATTTAAAAGGTGAAAGGAAAATGGCGGAAACACTTAATGTACTTAACCGTTAAGGATAACCAATTCTGAGTTATGGTAAAGAAGTCGGAAATTAAGCAAACCCGGAATTAAACAACTTTTTGATGACGTGAGAACGATGCCACCCAGTATTGATAAAACAGATGGTCTTCCAATCTTAGAAGGAGAAGTACGAGCAGCTCTGCAAAATGCTAAAGGTCAAAAGGGTTTGGGTCCTGATAGAATTCCGGCTGATATATGATATATTAAAGTTGATCGAGGGGAAGAATCTAGGGTGGCTTGCAAGAATGTACAATGTGATCGGCGCGAAGTCACTGCGAGCTTAACAACTTGATGTCAAAACACCCTGCAGAAGGGTTATAGACTGAAGAGAGAGGAATATGTATTGATCGAGTTTTATGTTAATTGAAAACTTAAGGATTCTTAATTAAATATAAGAATCTTGAATAATTTAACATTATACCAAATGTCTTCATTTCAGAGGCATCCCGAACTGTTCTACGATTTGTGGACCTCGAAGTGATATCTAATGATAAATGTATATCATACGAAGATTACGTGCCGTATATTGTTGATCAGCATTTATGTACGTCAGGTAGGTCCGAATAAACTAATAACTACTAAACTAAAATATTTTTTAAAACAAGTTCTTAAGTAAAATATTAAATACATTGAGGCCATGGATGAGCAATTTTTGTTCACACAGAGCCAACTAACTACACATTTAAAAATTGTGCGCGAACCACATATAAAACGCTACATTTATAGTATATACAGGGTGATTCAAAATTGGCGTCATTCCTCTGGAGGTGTTGTCTGGCGCTGTTATCGGAGTACAGAAAAAATAATAAAGTAAATTGATTGTTATTAAAAACTGAGAAATTTGCAAAAAACTATATCAGAAATACGGCAGCAATGTTTTTCAAGGTAATCTGCCTAATTAACATTG